GTCATGAATCCATCTGTGTCCTTTGTTTAATATGCACATAGACCAAGGTGAGCGACACAGGCTCTTTAGAGCCTCTAGTTTCTTTATGCTTTCCTAACTTAGTTTTGCTAAACAAATGCGGCTTAAAGCCCCAGCCATTTTAATTTTTTGGAATAATCTTAAAGTGTACAAGAATTTGTCAATGTTAATGTCTGGTATATGATCAAAAAGGACATCTTGACTATCAAATTTTTTTAAAGTAACCAAACTGAACTATTTTTGTATAAAGCAAAGATATTGCAGATTTATCAAAATCTGTTTTTCCCTGGTGGTACTTGAATAAAATCTGCTTGTCTTAGCTTTTATTTCTATTGCAAAATTTCACAAGGTATACAATGCAAAGACGTTTCTCAGACTGTTTATGACTAAATCTGTTGGTTGTGTACTGATTGATACCATATGGCAAAATCAAAGGTACTTTATTTAAATCATTTGCACCACGTGACTTTGTCCCTTTTGATCAAATTACTTCCCTTAGCTTAACATTGAAAATATAATTTATTATAGATTTGCGGATAATCCAGTTCTTTTCTGTCATGTATCTAAAACTAATGTATCTTTAAAAACTTCCTTTGGCGGATATTTACACAAATGCTGTGTAATTCTAAGGGAAAATGCTTAAAATTTGACTTTTTACGCAATGGGAAGGTTGAAATCATCATGTTTTTTAAAGAATTTGGCCGAAAACTTAAGAAAGCAGGTAAGTTAAAAGTTATTTAACTTTAAAATTCAACCTACAAGGTGTTTCCCTATAATTTTGCGAACAAATTATGAACAATATCTTCTTGCATGTGTATTTCTGTTTTGAATCTTGCTATTTTACGATTTTACGTCATTTTATTTGATCTTATATAGCAATTACACAATGGTTACGCTTCTGATTTTTAAACTAAAAAGGCCGAAAGATTTCAGAGTAGACAATGTCCATTTATACACGGACAGAAGCCTAAAAACATGTACAATTCACCTATATGCGAACAAATTGTTCATTCGACATAGGTATTTGCATATTGGCATTTTTATTAAAAGGGCTTATATAACCCTATTGTAATGGCTGCTGTCATGATAAGGCAAAATGGCCGCTATGCAAATTAGCAAATTACCCCAAATTTTTCCATATGCATTAGTCTGGGAGAATAAGATTTATTTCAGTGTTACTTGTAATTAGCTTTGAACAAACTTTCAGTAACTGTAAATACTTTCGGTGCTTTAAATTTGTGTCTATAAATGCCTTAATGTTAGTTTTTTTTTTGTGTCTCGTACCGATCTTTTGAGTTAATCTAATTGCAACAGTTTGTTCTTATGTTGTACTGTCACACCACTGTCCCATTTGAGGGAACGGTTGAGCGCCTAAAAACATGTTTAACCCTGCCATATTATTTATGTGCCTGTCCCAAGACAGAAGCCTGTAGTTGTTGTCTGTCGGAATATTTGATTTTTTGTATATATGTTTTGTTATATATAATTATGGCCGTTAGTTTTTTCGTTTGAATTGTTTCACATTTTTCATATTGGGGCCTTTTAAAACGACCACATGGTATGGGATTTTGTCATTGTTGAAGGCTGTACGGTTGCCCAACTTATGTGGATAGTAGCATCGATATCATTGGCAATCATACTATATCTCCTTATATTTATATTACATGTACATACCATACATGAACTCGTGTTTTCCTGACGACATGCATGAAATATTTGTCACTGGACATTAAAAATAAGCATCCAACAATCAATCATTTTAAACTTGTGTTAAATAAAGAGAACACCATTTCATTTTTTTTTTTTTTGGGGGGGGGAGGGCAAGAGGATTTTAAATTTGAATATGGTGGCCAGGTAAGTTGAAAATATAGACATAATTAGCAACAGATTTAAATGAATAATAAATTCGAAAAAAAAATCCTCCTGCCCCCTCCCAACACACTCCCCAGAATATCAAATAGTCGTCTCCTTACAGATACTGTCCGTGTAGATCTTATATTTATCCAGCTTATCGTCCCTATATATACAGGGATGTCCCACTAAAGCTGCCATACCATAAAAAACGTTTATCACACAGTTCACATTCTATTATATCTTCTTTCATAAATTTATCAATGTCATTTAAACTAAGAGACGCCATGTTTGTTATGTGCCTCTGCTGTCTTAACTACCTATTTAAAAGGAAGAGGTAGAAGAAAGCCAGAAGATCTTCCCAATGCAAAAAAACAGAAATGGACCTCTTCTGGCTCACTACCGAAGAACAAAAAAACACGCCCCTGTGCAGTTTGAAAAGTTTTAAGGCCTGGCATCCACTAGATATATAAAAGTTAAATGCATTTTGTGTTTCAGAAAGATAAAATCTTTTTTGGATTTTGATGGTCATTTTGTTTCGTTCCTGCTGATGGTGTAAAAATAAACAAACACCTAAATTACATTTGATACTGTCCACTCAGTTACACCCTTTAACTCACCTATTGTTGTGTAGATATCAGTATTGTCCATGCCAATCAAGGACAATCAATACAATGCAATGCAGTTGTTACCTGAGAGGGAGCATCTCAAAGATTTACCCAACTTAGTTTATTTTTACACCTTCTGCAGGAACAGAAAAAAATGCCCATCAAAATCCAAAATTGATTTTATCTTATTGAAACACAAATTTAATGCATTTAACTTTTATATATCTAGTTTTTCTTATTTCTCTGTCATATAAATGTGAAAATTTGAGATACAATCTTCACTTTCATATATAATTTGACAAATTTTTTCAGCATTTCAAAGAAAAATTTCCATAATAATTATACACCGAGGGATAGGTGTGTCTGGATAAGAAACCCAGACGGCGGGTTAGGCAGGAGGGGTTTCTTATCCAAACACGCCCTAGTATCCCGAGGTGTATAACTAACTTACACCCCATGCTAAACCCTATATTTCTTAACATTGAATTCTAAATGCAAAAGAATGGATATCTTATTTATTTACAATATGAAACCATGATTTATAAGATTTTTATGTTACATGAAACCCCACTAGTAACCTTACTTTGACTATCTTGGTTCAAACTTTGACAAGTGAGTAAGGTTTTACAAATGTCAAAGTTGCTGTTTTGCATATTCCCGTTAAATCCTTGTGCTAATATAGATCAGCAGGTCAAGATTGACCGTTTCGTACATTCTTATTACAAAAAAAAAATACATCATGCTCCTTGTATGTAGTTGTCAATATGGACGGGTATAAGACGAACGACATTTTGAGTCAAGCTTTGGATTTAGTAGACATGGTAGAAGAGACTAAAGATAAAGGCAATATTATAACTCAAAGTACTTACCTGTATCAGTTTCATTTGAGTTTAATGAAGGTAATCATAAATGTATTTTATATGTTACGGTTTTATAACCCCCCTCTATTCTCAAGTAAAACAAACATTCATATTCGGACATACTGAGGATGGTGTGTCTGAATTAGAAATCTGAGGACCAGACACGCTCAACATACAAAAATACAGATTGAATATTTAGGAACTCTCTTTTTTGTGGGGCAATCCAGGGATGGAGGTCCAGGAGTTAGAATCTCTGTTTATTTAAAGATCAATGCTTAAGAATAGAGACATATGACCGGGACCAGTAGCAGATCTAGCGGGGTTCTGGTTTTTTTTTGTGACAATCAATGCATTTGAATGGGGAGGCATGGTTGGAACCCCCCCCCCCCCCCCCCCTTTTTAAAAGTTGCTGAATCCGCCCCTGGGGATCAAAAGTTTTATCTTCAAGCAAAGGAGTATTTAAAGGATTTTTTTTTTATTCAAAATAGATGCATGCTTAATAGGACGTCTCCGGTTGCGGGAGTTTTTCGCTGCATTGAAGACCCATTGGTGGCCTTCAGCTGTTGTCTGCTCTATGGTTGGGTTGTTGTCTCTTTGAAACATTCCCCATTTCCATTCTCAATTTTATTAATACTTTTTTCATTATTTGAATTTCAAATAGCGAAACAATTTTAAAAATACCCCATTTTAGGAAATTCAAATTGTAGTGAACACTATTAGTAATTTCTTTTGTTCATGCTATTTAAAACAGTAATCAATGTCTATGGTTATGAATAACAATGGACTGTGTTTTCGGGATGTAGAAGCAGGGGTTTCCAGAAACCCAGCTCGTCACACCCTGTGGTCAAAATCCATTGTTCTTCATTAAAATAGATCTATTCAATTTACGCTTGTTTCAGAAATAGAAACTATGAAGTATAACAATAGAACTGGGGTGTAATGTCAAATATTGACTTAGCACTATTTTTTCGTGGTTTAAGTAGCATTATCTAACTTTGCATCTCAAGTCTTTTGTTGAAATACTGAGAAATAATGTTCATGATGAATAATTAAATGCTTATATACAGACTTTTTGATGCAAATAATTTTTTTTAGGAACAATTGTGTACACTATCTTTAGAGAAGCATGCAGTTGCAATAAAAAAAAAAAAAAAAATCATTTTCAATACTTTTGTTTTTCTTAAAGAGACAGGAGCCCAACTAGAGGACAAACTCGGATTCAGCAGCACATTTAAAGTTAAGTATATTTTTATTTAAAGTGACCCATAGACTGTCATCAATATTAAACTTATTTTTACTTTTTGTTTTTCTTACAGACAGGAGCCCCCACGATGAATGAGGTTTTAGGAGCCCATTTTTAGTTAAGTATATTTTTATTTGAAGTGACCCATTCATAGACTGTCATCAATATTAAACTAATTTTTACTTTTTGTTTTTCTTACAGACAGGAGCCCCCACGATGAATGCGGTTTTAGGAGCACATTTTAAGTTAAGTATATTTTTATTTGAAGTGACCCATACGTAGACTGTCATCAATATTAAACTAATTTATACCTTTTTGTTTTTCTTACAGAGGTAGGAGCCCCCAGGACGATGCGGATCCAGCAGCACATTTAAAGTTAAGTATATTTTTATTTGAAGTGACCCATTCAGAGACTGTTATCAATATTAAACTAATTTATACTTTTTGTTTTTCTTACAGAGGTAGGAGCCCCCAGGACGAATGCGGATCCAGCAGCACATTTAAAGTTAAGTATATTTTTATTTGAAGTGACCCATTCTTAGACTGTCATCAATATTAAACTAATTTATACTTTTTGTTTTTCTTACAGAGGTAGGAGCCCCCAGGACGAATGCGGTTCGAGCAGCACATTTTAAGTTAAGTTTATTTTTATTTAAAGTGACCCATAGACTGTTATCAATATTAAACTAATTTATACCTTTTGTTTTTCTTACAGAGGTAGGAGCCCCCAGGACGAATGCAGATCCAGCAGCACATTTTAAGTTAAGTATATTTTTATTTGAAGTGACCCATTCATAGACTGTCATCAATATTAAACTAATTTATACTTTTTGTTTTTCTAACAGAGGTATAGGAGCCCCCAGGACGAATGCGGATCGAGCAGCACATTTTAAGTTAAGTATATTTTTATTTAAAGTGACCCATAGACTGTTATCAATATTAAACTAATTTATACCTTTTGTTTTTCTTACAGAGGTAGGAGCCCCCAGGACGAATGTGGATCCAGCAGCACATTTTAAGTTAAGTATATTTTTATTTAAAGTGACCCATAGACTGTTATCCGAATATTAAACTAATTTATACTTTTTGTTTTTCTTACAGAGGTAGGAGCCCCCAGGACGAATGCGGATCCAGCAGCACATTTTAAGTTAAGTATATTTTTATTTAAAGTGACCCATAGACTGTTATCAATATTAAACTAATTTATACTTTTTGTTTTTCTTCCAGAGGTAGGAGCCCCCAGGACGAATGTGGATCCAGCAGCACATTTTAAGTTAAGTATATTTTTATTTAAAGTGACCCATAGACTGTTATCAATATTAAACTAATTTATACTTTTTGTTTTTCTTACAGAGGTAGGAGCCCCCCAGGACGAATGCCGATCCAGCAGCACATTTTAAGTTAAGTATATTTTTATTTGAAGTGACCCATTCATAGACTGTCATCAATATTAAACTAATTTATACTTTTTGTTTTTCTTACAGAGGTAGGAGCCCCCAGGACGAATGCGGATCCAGCAGCACATTTTAAGTTAAGTATATTTTTATTTGAAGTGACCCATTCATAGACTGTTATCAATATTAAACTAATTTATACTTTTTGTTTTTCTTACAGAGGTAGGAGCCCCCAGGACGAATGCGGATCCAGCAGCACATTTTAAGTTAAGTATATTTTTATTTGAAGTGACCCATTCATAGACTGTTATCAATATTAAACATGTTAAACTAATTTATACTTTTTGTTTTTCTTACAGAGGTAGGAGCCCCCAGGATGAATACGGATCCAGCAGCACATTTTAAGTTAAGTATATTTTTATTTGAAGTGACCCATTCATAGACTGTTATCAATATTAAACTAATTTATACTTTTTGTTTTTCTTACAGAGGTAGGAGCCCCCAGGAAGAATGCCGATCCAGCAGCACATTTTAAGTTAAGTATATTTTTATTTAAAGTGACCCATACAATTGACTGTCATCAATATTAAACTAATTCATACTTTTTGTTTTTCTTACAGAGATGGGAGCCCCAAGGACAAACTCTGATTCAGCAGCACATTCAAAGTTAAGTATATTTTTAGTTGATGTGACCCATTCATTGACTGTCATCAATATTAGACTAATTCATACTTTTTGTTTTTCTTACAGAGGTAGGAGCCCCCAGGACAAATGCGGATCCAGCAGCACATTTTAAGTTAAGTATATTTTTATTTAAAGTGACCCATAGACTGTTATCAATATTAAACTAATTTATACTTTTTTTTTTCTTACAGAGGTAGGAGCCCCCAGGACGAATGCCGATCCAGCAGCACATTTTAAGTTAAGTATACTTTTTATTTAAAGTGACCCATAGAGCTGTTATCAATATTAAACTAATTTATACTTTTTGTTTTTCTTCCAGAGGTAGGAGCCCCCAGGACGAATGCCGATCCAGCAGCACATTTTAAGTTAAGTATATTTTTATTTAAAGTGACCCATAGACTGTTATCAATATTAAACTAATTTATACTTTTTGTTTTTCTTACAGAGGTAGGAGCCCCCAGGACGAATGCGGATCCAGCAGCACATTTTAAGTTAAGTATATTTTTATTTGAAGTGACCCATTCATAGACTGTCATCAATATTAAACTAATTTATACTTTTTGTTTTTCTTACAGAGGTAGGAGCCCCCAGGACGAATGCAGATCCAGCAGTGCATTTTAAGTTAAGTATATTTTTATTTGAAGTGACCCATTCATAGACTGTTATCAATATTAAACTAATTTATACTTTTTGTTTTTCTTACAGAGGTAGGAGCCCCAGGACAAATGCAGATCCAGCAGCACATTTTAAGTTAAGTATATTTTTATTTGAAGTGACCCATTCATAGTCTGTCATCAATATTATACTAATTTATACTTTTTGTTTTTCTTAAAGAGGTAGGAGCCCCCAGGACGAATGCGGATCCAGCAGCACATTTTAAGTTAAGTATATTTTTATTTGAAGTGACCCATTCATAGACTTTCATCAATATTAAACTAATTTATACTTTTTGTTTTTCTTACAGAGGTAGGAGCCCCCAGGACGAATGCGGATCCAGCAGCACATTTTAAGTTAAGTATATTTTTATTTAAAGTGACCCATACAATTGACTGTCATCAATATTAAACTAATTCATACCTTTTGTTTTTCTTACAGAGATGGGAGCCCCAAGGACAAACTCTGATTCAGCAGCACATTCAAAGTTAAGTATATTTTTAGTTGATGTGACCCATTCATTGACTGTCATCAATATTAAACTAATTCATACTTTTTGTTTTTCTTACAGAGACAGGAGCCCCCAGGACGAATGTGGATTCAGCAGCACATTTTAAGTTAAGTATATTTTTATTTGAAGTGACCCATATAGACTGTCTTCAATATTAAACTAATTTATACTTTTTGTTTTTCTTACAGAGACAGGAGCCCCCAGGAGCCTGTAGTGGTTGGAGAGAAAGAGATGACATGATTTACGTATCAAGCAGTAAGTCTACTTTGTTTAAGGGGATTCAATTATGGCAAGTCAAATTTGGTGCAAGGCTTCCAAAACGGTCATATATTCCGGACATTTGCATGTGCGCAGGTGTGAAATTTAATTATGCATGCTAATTTCTTCAAAAAAATGCTTAAATTGTCATTGATACCTTTATCTCACGTTTATTTCGAATATTTTCTTGAAGAAATAACGTAGAAAGAGCTACTTACACTCATTTATGCTTTGCAAACGTACACGGAATTTACGTATCCGTCTGGTCCATGTTTTAACATTGTCAAGATAACATCCGGTATTAGATTTAAAAACGAAAGTAAAGTTTTTGACAACGTTATTTTGCACAAATAAAGAGTCTAAGGCAGATATAAGTACGCTGATGTTGCACACTTCGGATGATGCACTGCCAATTTAACAGTTTACGTCAGAACTTCCAATTTGAATCAAAGAAAGTTTAATATCGTCTTTTTTAATGTCAATCATTGGGATGGCCAATTCGGCAACTGATTACCATAATTGCCTTTTGTTTATTTAGTCTTAAGGGATTAAAATCGGGATAATATATAAAATGTCCGGCTGGCTAAAAATAATTTTGGAAGCCCTGATTTGGTGTTGTATTAGCATTGACACACCAACAAAATCTTAGATGTTTAATGCATTGATATCAAGTGTGCTTATACTGCAGTTTTCTTGCAGTCTCTGGTATATAATAATCATACATAAGTGAAGATAGGTTTTGATAAACATTTATAGAGTTTGATTAAAAAGGGAAGTTTTTTCCCACTCTTCAATTCTCTCTAAGTGTTTGAACACAGTATTGTATACATTTTGTAGATTTAAAAACAAGGTCAATGACAGATAATTTTACGATTTTAAGAGCTCTGAATTTACATTAAAAAATTTTTTTTAATACATGTACATTTCTTCTTCAGATTGAAACATTGTTATCAGATGAAGAGACTTCAGAAGCCAAGTTACACAACAATCTCAAGGTAGTTTATTCAATGCAGAGGATTTTTCACAAGAAATAAACAGTCAAATTGGCAATGAAGAAAATAATAGTTCATTGAAATCTTTAAATGCTCTCCTTGCTGCTGTGAATATGAGTCGCTGTTCATCGAATGCATGTTTTATTTTCAAAGGCTGGACATAACATCTCCAAAGCAAAAGCTCTTTTATCTGCCGTTCTTAATACAATTTGCCCAGAAGAAGAAAATGAGCTTTATAAAAACCTAGTTTCAATAGAAACAGTAGTTGATGAGGATCTTGAAGAGCAATTAAACAAGCATATAAAAATTCTGACACTTGGACATTACAAAGACAAATACTATCAGTCATTGCCACAAAGAAATAATACAATTTCATTAAAAAAACTCATTTAATGTGTAACCTATTACAGATCCAAAATCGCAAAAAGACATGGTCTCAAATATGGAGTGGGTAATGTCCATTTCTTCTGACTCAAAGTATTGGCAATTAGTTTAGCCTGAAAAAATTGAAAGCTTTGTTGACTTTATTACCTCCTCTGAAGTAATAAAGGACATGCCATTTTGAGAGAAGATGATGAAACTCTCATCAGGAAAAATTATTCCAACTCCAAATGTGATATGTTGTATAGCCCCAGCAGCTATCGTCAGGCAGTACTTTGATCAGTATTGTGAAGAAAATTACATCGATAAATTAGGTAGTTGTTTATCACTAACATGTCATATATTAATATGCATATAAGGGATTGCTTTTGTTTCTGTCATTAATATTATAATTTTCTATACATCTTAGAAGATTGTATAAAATTATCTTAAAACAAAGATAATGTAAGAATACAAATTTTGTGTCATTCTGTACAATATGTTTTAATTGATTTAATGTCAAAAAGCATAAATTGAAAATTGCTGCTTTTTCCAACATGACCCAAGACCAAACTCCAAAGATCCAAAGATACATCTATATACACATTTACCAAAGTCAATGATTTGTTAATTGTAGGTCACAATGACCTCCTTACATCTGCAAGCTGATCTTTTTCTCAAAATTGATATTTAAACAAGTTTAGATGATTCTATTGCCTATAGGTATCTAGGTTTGCATTTATTTCGAGAATTATGACTCAACCCATCCAGAAAAAAAGACGCTAAAGGACAGTGTTTTTACTAGATTTTGATAAAGATATATGTACATTTTACTAGATTTATATACTGGTTTTGTTCCCTTCACAGTACATTTAATTTGACTTATTCGAAAATATGTAATGTTTTACAGGTCACAGGTACTATGTACAGAATAATGCAAGTCTGTCCAGCTTCAGTACAGAAATCCATGGAAGGTTTAGACCATTTTGTTGTAGAGGACGGTAGAGCGTTTGAGGACCTACTTTGGGTTGTAAATCAGCTTCATCTATGTAAAGAAGAAATGGACCAAATGATAAAAGATCTTTCTGAATGCAAGCAGTACTTGAAGCATGTTTTTAAGGTAAACACATAATTCACCTCTTGTCTCTTTTGATATTCAAGACAATAAAACATCATCATTAACCCACTATCTAGACATTTTTTTAGGCACCCTAGGCGACAAGGGCATTCAGTTTTACTCTTGTCCATCTGTACGTTCCTTAATTGATTTCCATTCCCTAACTTTAGTTTGCCTGAACCAAATGCTATGGAACTTATACATAATGCTTATTATCACCAAACAGAGATCAAGTTCGAATTTGGGTGGCACATTTTTCACTGTTCTTGAGTTATGTCCCTTTAGAAATGGAAAAATTGCTGAATTTGCCATTTCAGCACTATATATATCTTTAGTTTGCCTCAATCAAATGTTATAAAACTAACACACAGTGCTTATTACCACAAACACAGAACAAGTTTAAATATTAGTAATTTCACTTTCACTGTTCTTGAGTTATGTCCCTTTATAAATGAAAAAAATCCTGAATTTGCCGCTTATTAACAAGCAGGGGCATCTGTATCTCATGTACAGTCTCCTTTTATTGAAAGTATGCCTTGAAGAATTGTTTAAGATAATTGCAGTTTACAATTTAGACTTTTGGTTCAGGATGGTTATCTTCTGGAATTATCTTAAACAATGAATTAAAAAAGTTTACCCATCAGCCCCTCATTTTTTATTATTATTTGAATTGATATACATCTTCAATACTCATGTGAAAAAAAGTCCTGAAATCACATTCCCTGTATATAAAAGGTATCAAAACAGCTATCAGTATCATAGTTTGAAAAAGGATTTGATTTTTGGTGTTTTAACGCCACTTTTAAGCACCACTTTTGGGCTATTTCGTGGCGGTCATTTTTTATTGGTGGAGGAAGCCGGAGTGCCCAGAGAAAACCACCGACCTTAGATAGGAAAACTGACAATCCTAGTCAGTTAAGATTGGAGTCGAGTGCACCCGCACGAGTGGGGTTCGAACTTACAACCTCAGTGTTGACTGGCTAGTGATTACAGTAGTAACTACTTAGACCACTCGGCCACCGAGGCCCCCGTTTGAAAAAGGACAGATAACACAGTATGTATTGCAATATGAAAAAGATGAACAGACAACAGTTCACAGAACACTATAAATTTAGCAACATGAATCCCACAAAAAACTCTAAAACAAAACAGTTTAAAAAAGCTGTTAAAATTTAATCATCTGACATGAAGGAAATTTTTTATAAGAAATCAGAGACCCCCTAAAATATTCTGATCCCCAATTTGATGAACAAAAATATTGTGGTCAAGCAGATGACAAAAAAAAATATTCTGAATCCAGATTTCCCCCAAACCTAATTATAGTGTTAAATTTTGAAGAAAAAAAAATTTGATTGATAGTGTCGAATTTTAGTTTTTCAACACTATCAATAAAATTATTTTTTTCAAAATTTAACACTACAAGGTATGGGGAAAATCTGGATTCAGAATATTTATTTTTATAGCCAATGTAAATAAAAAACGAATTTCTGTTTCAGGCAATATAGATTCAGGAAAAAACCAAAATTACAAATGTAAAATTGTTGAATTTGATGGAAATGTCCTTAAACCATCTGTCAAGGCAATTCCGTCCATTACATCATTCAGTAATTTTACTTATTCTGAACCTGGATTGACAGTTTGGAAAGCATATGGGATTGGAAAAGGTAATTATTGATAACCATTATGTTCTGTTGATTCTATCGTAAAGAAAAACTTCTTCATTTGATATACCAAAGACCAAGGAATAAGGAGTTAAACAACTAAAGGTTAATTACTTTTACAGCCTTCAACAATGTGCAAAACAGAAACCATATAGTAAGCTATAAAAGGCCTGAGGATTACAAAATGTGAAGCAATTCAAAAGAGAGGAGAAATTTATGCTCAGTCAATTAAATAAACAATTGCGGCTGACAAGAACATTAACAACAACAAACAACCAATTACAGGCTCCTAGCTTCACATATATATAGAATGTATTTGGGTTTGATATGTTTGCAAGTTCTCAATCCTTAGGCAAAACAAAATGATGATTAGTTTAGATCTTCCTCCTAAAGAAAAATAGGGTAGATAGGTACGTAGGAATTCATTTTGCTCAATACTTTTACCTTAAGTTATGGATTATACCTGCAATTCTGATTCACAACCTTAGGTGACGATTAAAAGCTTAGTGTTGTCATTTTGAAGCATAAAAAGGAAAACTAGTTATAAAGGTAAGGAAACGCCCACATTTTTTATTAAATTTTAGCCTTAATACCTTGGATGATGTATATATGGGCATATATGTGGATATCTTTTACTATATATATATTAATTCCAAGTTAATTATTGTTTTCCTATGTCAAGATTGCACATGAGGTTTTTAACATTCAAATTAGGTGAGCATTTTGTGAGCAAAAAAATTGCACATTTGAAACTAACCTTATAATTTGCATGTTAAAAACCTCACTTGCAAATGCTCATATGAGCTTTTGTTTCACATGTGCATTTTATCAGATTGCTGATATGACGTTACCTGCTCACATTTTGCACATGTGGAAATTAGTTGACCCATTTGATTATGTTATCTAATTATCTGCAGATTTGTACCTAAAAATCAAAACAAAACGACCGCTTCAAAATAGGAAAAAAATTTAAATGAAAATGAAAATCTTGAATAGTTAAAAAATAAAATAAATGATCACATGATGTTATTTGTTATTCTTTATTACTGTCAGTAATGATTTTCATATTATTTTGTCCTTTTTATTATTAAAAAATAATGACTGAAAACATTACATTATAAAACTAGTACAGGGACTTACACATTTAGTATATAATGACAGGGGCGGATCCAGAACCTCGATGTCTGGTGTGGGGGGGGGGGGGGGCACCATGAAACCAAAATTAGTAGAGATGTATATATGCGAGTGTGGGTGGTAATGGTTGGGGTGTGTGTGGAGGGGGGATCAGATCATTGATTTTAATTTTTTACCATTTCACTCTATTCTTTATTCTTGGATCTCTATTATATTCGTCCTAAACATGCATAAAATATTTTGCACTGGACATTAAGCAACCAACAATCAATCAATCTATTCTTTATATTTCATCATCTCTTTATTCTGTTATCTATAGTTTTTGGTCCCACCCCTAATCTAAATTTTTTGCCCATTATTCTCTTATCTGTGAACCCCATTCATATCCTCATAAATGGTGACCCATTCATAGCCTCATACATGGTAATTGAAACAAAAAAATATTCATATATTAATTAACTGTATGCTGGGACTAATAGATAAATGTATTAGTCCCATATTATGTTATACAGTAGGTCTTATAAAAATACAATAACATTTTATTGATGATTATATATATACATATTAGACAATGCCAATTCATTTTTCGTGGGAAAAAAGGGGGCAAGGCGTTTTTAAAACAAATTGTTGGTTTCCTTTGAAAATAAGAAGGAAAAGAAATATGACATTCAGTTAAAAAGATCTTGTATGATATTGAAAAAAATATTTTGTTGTTGAAGAAAGTCACATACAAGACAGTTTCGAGAAAAAAATACATTCACAAGAAATGGTAATGCGAGTATAATGTGTTATGGAGACATATCACATATATCGATACCAACGTTCTTGACACTAAACATCTATTTGTACCTATTCTTTAAAAAAAAACCAGATTTTTGTTGGTAATTTCTTTCCTGATCAGAAGATTTAACCTGTTAATCAATCTTAATCTGTAATATTGTATTAAAAAACAATAAAACTATTTTTACTATTCCAATTAACATGAACATGTAGTTTGCATAAAAGCTTTTGCAAAGAGACATTACACACAGGTGTCAATATTTACACACCCAGCGATAAGTTGTCATAAATCACGCATGTTGAAGATGGGGTTAATTAACGGCCAGTTTAAGAAGTCAAATCAAGCTGTGATTAATTTCCGCTCTAGATAAGCAGATTTAGTTGCAATAAAATTATGTTAGAAAATTTTTTGGTGACCTGGACTGGGGGGGCATGCCCCCCCCCCCCCCCCAGTAAATCTGCCACTGAATGAATGTCTTTTACATATTTAGTATATAATGAATGTCTTTTACACATTTAGTATATTATGAATATCTTTTATTAAGTACTATATTTCAGAAAGTTTAAAACAGGAATTATCTATAAACATGCAGT